GATTCAACAGAAGGGAATAATTCAATTATATTTGCCCATTCAGTAAATTTTCATAATTTTTGAATCTAATAATTTCCAAGCATTCCCAAAATATTCAGTTTCGAACATTTCTCTTTCCAATGCAATGCGTCATAATCATGGTTCAACTTATGTCCTTCTTTTAAAAGATGGTTTACAAATGTGGAATTAGTCTTCATATTCAAGAAATTACTCCTACGTTCTATTATTCTTTGGGAACAGGTTCTCCCCGTTTGGCCAATATAAAGTTTTCGGCATATATATTGCGTATCTCTACGCTAGCTTGACTGAATACATTGTTGAACAACATGTATGCGACTGCTTTGAATTTCCTCCTAAACCAGTGTATGATCTCAGCTTAGGACCACTCGATGTTATGTTGATGAGTCCAAACATGTTCTGCTATTCCTGATTTGCTGGTTTTCCCACGCTATGCGTGTTTCTTGTGCTCGGCAATGGCCTTTTAGTTTCACCGATATAGGATTTTCCGCACTCACAGTCCGCGTTTGGTGGCCTGGTTTTCATGAGGTTGCTACGGAGAGTGTTTCCGGATCTGAAGCAGGTTCTGATATTGAACTTCGACCAATTCTTCTTATCCTTCTTGCTGATAATCTTCTGATGTAATCTTCATAAAATGGAACCATAATAATACGGAACTAGACGCCTTATATTTTGCTTTAAATCTAGACAGATCTTGGTTACACTCGTTTCAACTTCGAAAGACCATCCCTGAGTCGAATTTGTAATAATACTTGCCATGTGTTCTGATCTTCAGAGGGATGGATGCACCTCCACTTCATAGAGATCACGATTAATGCTCCGGATTTTTTCGTGACAGATATTTCTATGAATGTGATCCAGATCGAAACAGAAACATTCAAAGCTTAGCATAGAAATTTAGACTGCTTGTTCTTGGTCAATACCCTGTTAAGAATCACACGTTAAAAGGTAAGACCTCGTTGGTCCTTAGCACGCACAAGTGTCTCAACTTCTAAGAGTTGTCGTTTGTATGGGGGCGACAGCTGATTAACGGAAAAACAGATTTTTTTAAAGATCTGAAATACGTAAAGCAACGAAGGCTCTCATTACCATGCGAGATCACCAGAGTAATTCTAGAAGAAGAAATCTATACTATTTTACAAAGTGTTACTTATAAGATATTCGCAAACCATACCACCATAAATTGTAGGATAGCTAAATAACAGTTTATCTCAACAAACTACTATTTTCAATTTTCCTATTTTCAATTTTCTCCATCATATTCTGTTTGAATATATGTTTTTCTGTTAACCAGCTGTCGCTCCGCTACGAACGACAACTCTCAAAAGTCAAAACTTGTGCGAGTAAGGACTAACGAGGTCTTATCTTTAAACGGGTACACATACAAAACAATTGAAAACCGTACCTGTGAAGAAGAAATAATAAATGCCTCGAGATCTGTAGATAAATACGATAAAAGTTGAAATCCAGTGAGAGCCTCATAAAAAATAATTAATATCATTTTCATAATATAAACTCATATTAAATATAATGTGATGTAATAATGATAGTTTTGAAACAAACTACGGTCTTTAATTAACTGGAAAACTCACTGAAATGATTTCAATTGATGTAAATTCCTATACTACAAGTACTAAAAATTGTTTTGAGCGAGTAATTCAGTTTTCAGATTAGTTGCTGAAGACATTTTAACTTAACATACAACGGTTACGAATGCCCGACGAATCATGCTTCGGATTTCTATGCAGTCGACAATATACATTTCGATATTGTCCAGTAAATGTGCCTTAAGTTTTTCATAATAATAATGAGAATAATCAAAATAATAATAATAATAAAAATAACGGTCCATCTCAGGGACTACGATGAAGATGTGCAGCTTGTAGATGGGAGCATCTTGCACCATCTGGATGCCGTAAAGACATATACTTATCTACCTCGGGGTGGAAAAACGCCACTCACAAGAAGTAACAGCAGTAGAACTCTCTCCGCGGCAAGTATCAGTACAAACTCCAATAGATCTGGCCATCGAAACTGTCGGGTAAAATCAAATGTGCTGCATCGAATATGTTTGCCGTTCCAATTATATTCTAGTCATTTGGAGTAGTGAAGTGATCTCGGGAGGAGCTGTATCAACTCGACGTAAAGACCCGAAACATGATGCACCTCCATAGGAGTTTGCATCCCAAATCATTCGTTCCACGGTTGTATTTACCCCGAAAACAAGCAGGCCGTGGACTTCCAAATTTGAGATGTCTAACAGAATGGTACTGGATGGATCCTGTGAAGTCATCACCAGTTTGGATCTCCTTCTCTGCATGGTCCGCGACCATGAGAGAGCAGGAATTGAGGCAGCTGCCCTAGCAGCTGGTGAACTAGCTTTGGTTTTCGTCATTAAACGAGGTGATCACAACTCTGTAACTGAGTTGGAACCCGTTGAAACCCGGTATTGACAATACTTCGGTGTGGCCTTACACTCCCCCGGAGTAAGAAACAAGAATTGCCGAATTTATTGGAACTATTCGTTCCCCACCCTCAGGCTCATGCAAGCTAAGAAGCCTGACGTAGTCCTCCTCGACCACCAGAGCAAGACGATATTTGTCGTGGAGACGAATATCGTCGGAAAAGAGGACAAAAATGGATAAAATATCGAAATTTTCTCTTCGAACTCCGGAGACTCTATCCAGACCACTCTGTCAAGATGATTGTTCTGATTATTGAAATACTTGGTGGAGTGATGCCCTCTCTACTCTCAAATCTCAAAATCAGGTCGTCTTGCCGCACTAAGATAGGCCGTCATTCTTGGCTCACTGCGCTTGCTTAGGGCAACATGATTCTCTGACCCAATGATTACTTACCCCACGTTGTGGAGAGTGGTTTGTGGGGAGTGGTCATTGATTAATGATGCTGGTGCATCATGTATCGAGGCTTTCCCCAAACATCAGAACTGCATCACTCTTCTCGACGCACGTTTCACACACAGTAGTGAAGGGGGAAAGTTTTCCATGAAAATCAACAGTGAAGTAGGATGCATATTGTTGGGCAGGTCGATTCATTTTTATCAATGTTGTTGCTATTGAATCATCCGCTTGTGCTACTAGTGGAATAGTGGGCTTTGACTGAAAGTTTTAGCCAGTGACCAGAATGATCTAGAACCGTTTAGATTCTCTTTTTGTGAATTTCTTCATTATCGATTTGCAATTGTTGCGAGCACCAACAAAGTTGAAAAAACTGTCAGCACTGAGATTTCTGTCCCTCTATCGTTAGCGGTATTTTTTAAGACTACGGATTCCTCATAAGGATTTTCTTCATTGAAGAGAGAATATATGTATCCATGTCTGATAGTATCATTGATAATACAACAATGGCAATGACATCACCAGAAGATGGCAAATGAGACTTTATCGAAACGTTGTGAAAATAATCCTTATGAGAATAAATAACACATAACACGGAGAGAGACCAAAAACAATATCATCTTACATGTTTAATATATTGAATGTGAGGTCTTGTTGTGTTTTGATTTGTACTTTATCCTCGATAAGTGATTTATGACTGCACAAAAAGGCATACATAAATCCAACAGTATATAAATCAAACCTTGCAACACACGCCATACAAAACAAACATAATTTCCCCCCACCAGAGAACATAAAACTCATAAAACAAGTCAACAAGGGAAACCGCATGGACATTTGGGGAAACTTGAACATCCATAAATTTAACAGTCATAAATCACTTATCGAGGAACAAGTACAAATCAAAACACAACAAGACCTCACATTCAATATATTAAACAAAACCATACACATTTCTAGAAAAGATCTAACACAAAGGAGAGTACCTGATGCAGAACAAATAAAGGCAAATTTACCTAAAGTACCTGAAATACCTGAGTTAAGACGCTCTGACCGTATAAAGAGGCAGACAACAGGATGACCAGTTCAGTTTGAAGGCTGCCTAGAAGATGACAGTACTACCAACTGTCGAAAGCGCTCGCAGATAATTAATAGAAGATATAAAGCTTCAAATCCTTTTTGTAGAATTTAATATTGAAATACTCAAAATAAAGGAAAATTAGTTGCATCATCCAAAATATAGATATACAGTGTCCGGGTTGAACCGCGTCTGTAATTTTCATCGTTTCGGCTCCTGCTTTGAAGCCATTCTCAAGAATCACTTAGATTTGTACTATCATGACTCGAGGACGAGGTCGTAATCTCCCTTGTCCCCAAGTCTCGTTACTAGTTCTATGTTTGCTGTGTTTCACTCTAGTTCGTACTGGTCACTCTGTTGTTCGGAGCCCATATTTATGTTGTTGTAGCAGGTATCTGGTTTACCTAAACGGGTACCTGAGTTATTTTCAGGTATCCTGCGTGACATCAATATCATCCATGTTTGTGGTAGTCTCTGCGAATCATCTCGCTTGTTAAGACAGTTGGGGCGTTTTTCAATTTCGATTGCTTCCCGAATTATCCTGGCCTGAAGATTTTTTCTCCGTAGCAAATGGTCTTGGTATTTTCGAAGCTTATTGTGAGGCCTGTTTCCTGGTGGTGTTTGAAGAGAGATGATGCTGGATCTGATTTTTAACCGCTAGTTCATGTTCATAGGCTCTGTTGGAAATTCTTCTATTGGTCTGGCCGATGTAAGTTCTGGGGCAGTTTGAACATGGTATTTCGTATATGCCTTGTGCTTCATTGGTTATCGTGTCCTTGGGTGTTCTTAACATAGCGGAGATTTGGTTGTTGGCTGTGAATACTGTCTTTACGTTATGTTTCTTAAGAATTCGGCTCACTTTGTCAGTGACTCCATGGATGTAGGGAAGAAAAGCTTTTGTCTGGTTGGTCTGTTCCTCGGGTAACTCGTGGGGTGGGGTTTGTGTATGCTGTCGTTGGATGGATCTGGTGGACGGGATAGTCGTTTTGGTGAAGGGCGGCTGTGAGTTCGTATAGTTCCCTGGATCTATTGTGATTGTTAGTGAGTCATATAGAACGATGTATGACGAAATTCAGAACTGAATTTATCTGAGCAGGATGATGATGGGACTTGGCATTGAGGTAGTGGTTAGTACGAGTAGGTTTTCGGTAGACCGTGTGTGAGGAGTTATTGGACTTTGTGATGAGAACGTCCAGGAAAGGGAGTGAGTTATTATTTTCAAATTCAATTGTGAACTTAAGTTCGGGGTGTGAGGAGTTGATGTGGTTCAGGAATGCATGAAGATCTTCGGATCCATGGGGCCATATGACGAAGACATCATCCACGTATCGGATCCAACACGTGGGTTTGAGATGAGAGGTGCCAATGGCTCTGGTTTCGAAGTCCTCCATGAAGAGGTTTGCAAGGACTGGAGAGAGAGGAGAACCCATTGGGGCGCCTTTAAGTTGTTTGTAGAATTTGTCCTGAAAAACGACATTAAAAAATTATAACAAAAAGTAATCCACATTATTCAATGTCAAAAATGTCATTCGCATGTTTCTCTAAAAATTAAAATTCATAAAGTAATAATTACTGTTTTTTCCGTTATTATGTTTAATATCTATACTTATTATGTTTGAGTATTTCTCAAGAAAATAGAGAATGTTGCTAACAATGGCATAACTATGATGAGGGACATCTACGGTGAGAGTGTACTTACATGAGTAAACACTACATCAACTGCAATTGTAGTAAAAATCAATTGTCACTAAATTTGAAAAAGGATAGTGGCAATATTTTATGATAAAGTTATAGATATGCTTCCAGTAGTAAAAAATAGATAAAAAGTATTGTCAATATCGAGTGAAAACATATATTTCACTGAGGTGAGATACAAACTGAGAAATAAAAACAATTTCCAGGAGCAATCCCTCAGACTACTGTTTTTGTTGAATTAAAATCCTGATCTCCTACTGGAGAAGATCTCATTTAGCACGTCTACCATTCACGTTGCATCCAATTATGATATTTTCAATACTAATAATTTCTCTCACAAATGAGACTGATTTTCCTTAAGTTCGTGACTAATTAAAGACCGTATTGCATCACGTAAAAGTGATCGTAGATTATACTCTGAAAGATGTGCTCTTAGAAACCATGTCTTCAAAGAAGGTCACAAAATAGATTATGATTCAACTAAAATCCTTTCAATTGAAACAAATGAGTCTAAGAGACTGTCATTTCTCAGTATGAATCTTACCTCAACAGAGGGACTGATATCAATCACTAGAGTGAAATATGCGCTAATTATTTGAACGATTTCATAAAAATTTTTCAAGCAGTGTATTTATTTCAACGAATTGATTCACTATGACATGTTTTATTAATATAACTTGAACATCAATTGCTATACGGCCAACCCCATCAACAGTAAGTTCCCTTATGATGGTGATGAACATTATCGAAATATTAGAATAACTTCTTGTTGGCCGTTCAATAAGTTATTTGATTGTTGTCGTTTATTTGTTTCCAGGGATTCAAGCAAGTTCAATTTTTGTCCTTCATTTATGTAAAATATCATAATTCATATCGATATTGTAAATGGTAGCAATCATAAGTAGATTTGGACTTCATCTTTTGTGTTCTGGAATTCTCTCTTTGGAATTTCTAGACGATCCTCCTATGTAAACTCTTGCGCACGATCCTCAAGTTAACTTGTAGACACCTAATTTACTGTCCTTGTCAATGCTTCACTTTAGAAACATATAAGTTGATGATTAATCAGTGTTGAAAAAAAGTTCAGCCAAAGAAAAGTTCCGAAATGATCTTGAAGTTCTTTCAATTCAGCAAATGTATTTTGCGAAACTTTGCACGAACAAATTTAGTTTTATGAAATTTGAATGTTGATAACGACAGTGCTGCCTCGCCATGAATAGTGTGTAATTCTGCATTATATCTCCCTCAGGTATTGAACTTTTAATTTTTCAAAAACCACAAAAGTTACTTGAATTGTTGATAATTCGTATTTTATAACAGATGTCAAAACTGAGAGCAATTATACCTCACATTGGACTATTTAGCGAAACATTTAATGGAAAGTGTCTCCAGAAACGACGAAGAAGTAAACGGACAAGATGTTTGGCATATCCATACGACCCCCTTCAACCTCTCCATTACAAATCAAAATTTTCAATCCGATAATCATAATCACTACTATTGTTGTCAATCGCAAATGCATATTATATGGCTCTTGTCGAGTAATAAAAGTGCATTGGTCAAAGCCGATTAGAAGCTCCCGGCTCGGCACATGGATGGAGAGTACTTTAAAAGGAAAATCCGATTCTCTGCCATTTACAATCAATTTGCAACAGATACGTTAAGAATTTATGTAGTGATAGAACGAAGTCTACGGCCGAGTTATTCGAGGGAGTGGGTCCAACTTATCGAGTCACAGACCGAATAATGCGACTGTTAACCGTTCACATGGGCGTAGAGTTTGAAATTATTGGAATATCAAACCATTGGTCTCACCTGTTTATTCGTGTCACTAATACAGAGTGAGGCAATGTTGAATAAGTACGTACCTTGGGTCTCTTATTCATTTTGTCTGCTTGATGAGTAGATTTGAAACCTCTGACGTGAAATCCGTTGAAAATACTTTTCTCTCACCAGAACAAAAATGTTGTTTCTCCACGAGCTGAAAGACTCACGAATGAAAATCTGGTTAGTTTCAACACAGACCAACCTTCTGACACACTAATGATATTAATAAATGATCAAAGGTGAAAAAGTTCAGAGTATTCAATTCAATTCAATTAAGGACTATATTCCATTCCGTTGATATACTTGAAGTAGTGTGAAGTAATTATTTCACTAGACAACCTTTGCTGAAAATGAACTGTTATCAAATCTGGCTGAGGCGTGATTATGCTCTTGTGCATTCTATAGGACGGTAGCCTATTGGGTTATCGTAAGTGGTTAGTTCTACCCATTCAATAAACCACTATGTGGAACGCTGTTCGAACACTACTCCGAACGATTATTTTCACTAAATATCGTCCAAAACGTATTAGTAATCGCACGTTTTGAAGTAACACCTCGTGAATCCTTAGCTTGCAAAAGTTTTGACTGCTGAAGGTTTTATTAGTAGAGGGCGACAGCGGGTTAAGAGAAAACATATTTTCACAGTTTTTTCACTATATTCATCATTTCTTGTAATACCATCTGAAGTTTAACTTATAAAAATGTTATACCTACGCTCGAAAATTGAGATGGCCGTACCTACCAAATTTGTAACATTGCCTCTTCAGTTATTACGTTCCGGACCGTAATTCTGAGAGAGCCAGTCTTTCTACTTGTATCACTTATAATAATACAATAANCTTTGGCTAAATCTTGGTGACACTCTAATACTAGCCCTGAGGTAACACGTTGTCAGTTCAAGGCTACTTGGGCTTGTCTGCTATCAGTGTAAATTGTAATGTTTTTGCCAGAAATTCCTTTCCTGGTTATTTCTTTTGTGGCAATTGTGGCGATTCAGCACCAATCTGGATAACATTATAAGATGAAGCTCTCAACTCATTCATAAATATAGGTACGACTTTATGTCACACATGAGTTGAATCCGCTCGTGTCATTGATGGCAAGACGTAATGACACTCATTCGCTTATACAAACATGTGTAGATCATGCAAAGGATTATCTTTCAGACACAAACTTATATTATTTTGAGAGCCTGTCGAAAATATTCCATTCTAATACATGCAGAATAATATTGGTCCCAGAATCGTTCCCTGGGATATCCCACAATCAACTATTTTTCCGCTGCTTTAAATGTTTTTGATTTTTATTTCTTGTTTCCTGTTTACCAGCCATGATTTGAATAATTTCGATACGTAGCCCCTAATACCGATATTTTCTAGGCATGCATGACATCAAAATCGAGTGGTTAACACTATCGAATGCTTTCGTTTTTCAATACACCAAGTCAAGAAGTGGAAATTTTTTCATTTACTCCGCAGCTTGAAACCATTTTTTCCCTTAAAGTAGGTATGACCACAAAGCATACTCTCTTTTGAACTTGCCATCGATTGATTTCCTGTTCAATTTCGTTATTAGTAGGCTTAATCTCGTACACTTGAGAACTGTTTTCAAGTCTCTCTCTAAGTTCCCTTCACTAAACACAATGCGTCCTGACTTCAACTGATTTGATATGATGATAATTTCATCGTTTTACCATGCTCATAAGCGATTGGTCTTTAGTATTTTGTTTCATTGGATAGCACTGCTAATATGTCGGTAGAAATACTGGCATTAGTTATTTTTCATGAAGATATACAAGCACCACAGAAAAATCGTTGACAGTTGTTTTCTAAATGAAAGATCTCAACAGTGTAATTCGAGGTGGATTAAGTTGAAACTCAAAACGATGAGTAAGCTCTATTTTATCGCGTACTTCTGACATATTTATCGCTCCTTGTCAATTGAATACGTCAAAGAAAAAGAGTGTTCTCAACCTTTCTTCTATATTCCAGGCTATCAACGTTCCTGGTGAACTTGCGATGCACTATTTGGAACTTTTGGTGTAGTAATGAATATTACTGGAGTTTTATCTCAACACCAAACCGTTATTTTCAACACCTCGACACGTGTTTTAATCACCAAGTGATCATCTTCAAGAGGAATATTAATTTAATCTTCCTCTTGAAGGGAAGAGCTATCCACCTAATTGACGGGAATTTTCAAAACTTCACAAGGAACGAATATTACTGGAGTTTTTTTCCAACACCAAACCGTTATTTTAACACCTCAACACGTGTTTCAATCACCAAGTGATCATCTTCAAGAGGGGGATTAGGGGATTAATTTAATCTTCCTCTTGAAGAGGAAAGCTATCCACCTAATTAAGGAGAATTTTCAAAACTTCACAATTTATCTCAACACTAAACCGTCATTTTCAACACCTCGATAAACCGTCATTTTCAACACCTCGATTGAAACACATGTCGAGGTGTTTAAAATAATGGTTTGGTGTTGGGATAAAACTCCAATAATATTTGTTCCTTGTGAAGTTTTGAAAATTTCCTTCAATTAGGTGGATAGCTCTTGTCTGAATCTTCCACCCTCAGAGTATACTAAGTGGTGGAGAAACAACAATATTCCAGATCAGTGAAAATAACTGAGGTATATACAACATCTTGTGTGGAATAGTGATCCAAGTTTCTGAGAAACTGCCTTTAACATTCCAAAAATATGTTGGTATCCAATTTAGTACTGAACTTACTTTCTTAGAGATAATTGCATTTCATTTTCGAAAATTGCATTTTCGTACCATTAAATTCTACGTGGTTTTTGTCAACCTGAACCGATATTTCCTTCAGCTCTTCATTTGGATATATAATTTCTTGTTGTTTGCGAAGGTATACATTGGCAGTTGATGTTCAGAAATCTGAATAGATAGAAGAAAAGTATACTATCGCTAGAAAAGCAGAGAAATTGAAGTCTGATTTTTTCTAATAGATTGTAGATGTACAATAGAAAGAGTTAAAACAAAAATTGGATTCCTGATAAGAACTAAATACTGATAGTAAAGATTTCGATGAAGAATGGTCTTTGAGAAAGCTGAGAAGCCGTGAACACAGACGATCTGTAGAAGCGTAACATCTAAGTTTTTGAACCATTCCTGCCATGTTTACAGGTTTCACATATAGTAAGTGGGCATACTTGAAGACTTGCTATAAATCAAATCATCTAGAGGAACAATTTGTTCAGGCCAGTCTCAACTCCCTACACTGTAGGTTAATGGACTGACACCTATCAGAAAACAACTACTCCCCTGGCTAATACCACGAAGGGCGTTGGATAATATCCGACAGGTGTCAGTGCAGGATTCTTCACTGAAGTTATTCCTGAATAAGCTGTTGGCGATATAACTGCCACAATGGATTTTCACTTATTGGAACACACTTGCAGACCGATTACGGGCTGTTTGGCCATTCGTCAGTACAAGGTAGTGTATATCATCAACATAAAGTCGATGATTTTTGATAATTGAAAATCGAATTCCTTTAGAGTATCATTTCTCTAACTAGGCTGAAGCGGACAACAGACAACAAATTTGGCATCGTCCCATCTGCCTGTGAACATATAGTCAGTGGACATACTATAAATCTATAAACCAAATTATTTAAAGGAGCAATTTGTTCAGGCCATGCGTTAATGGACTGACACCTATCAGAAAAAACTACTCCCCTGGCTAATACCACGAAGGGCGTTGGATTATATCCGACAGCTGTCAGTGCGGTCGATGATTTACGATAATTGCCTGCATATGNTCCGATTATTGATAATCGAATTCCTTCAGAGTACAATTCCTTTAGATGATTTAATGGTCACAGGCATTTGAAATATCAAATGAATCAGCTCGAGACTTTTCGTGTAAGTGACATATGTAATGTCACTATTGATATTTGCTTTGGGAAATCATATTTGTTGCTCAAGATGTTGAAGCATAAGCATATTTTCGAAATCACTGATGGTAAAGCAACTAGTTGTTCGTTTCTACTACATTCCAAACAAATATTCGTTTAAAAAGTTTCATATTATTGAAAAACGACTTTGTTCACTCTGTGTATTATTTCAGTTTTGTTTTTTTCTGACTCATTGAAATATGTCTTATGTTTTCATAGAAACGATAAGTTATTGACTAAATATGAATAATAAAAACTAGAAGTTTGAGAAGTTGTTTCAATTGATTTTTCAATTGCAAAACTTGTGTATTTCTGCTAAATCCAAAAGGTTATGGGCCCAAAACACGTTACTGTGTTCTGAAAAATCCTGTAAATAAGTTTTGCACAACTTTATTTTGCGGAAAAGTGTCACTGTCACATCGAGTTATACTTCTGGTTCTCACAAGCCAAAAAAGTGAGTGAAGATGGACAAGCTGAGGTTTCTTCACATCCAAAAGTTTGATGGAACCAATTTCCACCTGTGGAAGTATCAGATGCAAATTATCTTCAACGCCGAAGGATTTCTGAACCTGGTTGACGGACAGAAACAAAAGCCTGCAACCACAGATGATGAAAAGAAAAACAGAGAATGGGAAGCATCCAATTCGAACGCCATGCTTATCATTTCAACAGCAATGGAGTTCGATCAATTACAGATAGTGATGAGTTGTAAAACAGCACCAGAAATGTGGAGTCGACTAAAAATCATCCATGAACAAAGGTCGTCAGTTAATAAGGTGATGCTGAAACAGAAGTTTCATATAGAATGTCCGAAATTGATAGTACTGCTCAGCACATTATCAAAATCGAACCAATGGCACAAGCTCTTGCTGACGTAGGTGAACAGATTTATGATATCGACAAATTAGCTAATGTTTTGGGAAGTCTTCCTGCCAAATATGGATCCTTCATCACAGCGTGGGATTCCTATGATGAAAGCAAACAAACGTTCAATAACCTGACGGCTCGTTTGCTGAAGGAAGAAATGAGTCTATCCCAAAATGCAACTATGATGAATGGAGGTATCGTAACATGGTCTTCACATCAACAAAAATGTGTATCGAGATCAGCAACCGAATCAGAATACATAGCAG